AAGAAGTAGCCCATCCACTCAGAGATGATGATGTCAACCTTGGGGAAGGGGAGCTCGACCTCCTCCATCTTGCCCTGGATCAAGGTGATCTTGTCGGACATGCCGTTAACCTTGACGATCTCGCGGGCCTTGAAAATGATGGTGGACATGTCGACACCAATAACGTGCTTGGCACCGGCCTTAACGGCGAACCTGCGCGAAGGGAAAACCTGTGAGTCTGGGGGCTCGTTGGGAGGACAAAACTGCGCGGAACAGTCTCGGAACAGGCGTACATGGACAGAATGGCAGTGCCGCAACCGACATCGAGGACAACCTTGTCCTTGAACAGATGCTTGTTCTGGACAATGGCGTTCATGTAGGAGCGTGTGCGGACCTCATCTTTCTGCAGGGGAGACAGGGTTAGCGAGTGGTTCACCACAGATGCCAGCCTTGGAGGGGCAGCTAGCTGTGCGACGTGTTTGGCGGGCTGCATACCAACATCTCCTCGTGGATGCCTGTTCCACATTCCTTCTCGTTAGACAATTTCTTCCCCTTATCGATCGCACATCGCAAGAAGAGGCTTACCGTGGTGGTCGTAGCTGCACAACGTCTGTTAGCAACTGTGTCCTTGCTCCGGAGAAAAAAAGCCCCCAATCACCTGGGGAGAAAACAACGTACCTCTTGAAGTAATGCTGCTCAGAGTGCGCCATGGCCTTGAGCTTCGCCTCGGCGGCGTCGACCTCCATGTGGTCGCCAGACATGGTGAATACTCGGCTGGGTTTCGGGAGGGGTAGAGGTGAACAAGAGGCAGCTGCAACTTTTTACTGTGACAAGTTGGAAAGTGGAAGCGGATGTGCCTGGTGGTCCTCGAGATGAAGGAGGAAATTTCAGGAGGAAAGGAAACACGGACAAGCGCGCGGTGAAGGAGGAAGGGTCGGCTGGCGGGGCTGGGCCTGAACGGAGACCTTCTACACGATCGGGCAGAATGGACTGGACTGGACGGGACTGGACCTCTGAGATGCAGAGACTGCCATGACTGGAGGGGAAGAAAAAAAAAATTAAGCTGATTGCGCCGCTCATGCCTGTCACCGCCTGCACCCTGCATCGGCCAGTCCCCACTTCCCATTTTTGGCCACACTGCGCGGTCCTCCCAGCTGGCAGACCCTTATTGTCGGCCCGTTCCATGCCACTTAACCACCGCTGTGAGCGAGACGGGACCTTTTCCATGGATGATAAAAGTTCCCCATGTCCGTTTGTCGTTGAGGGGCATCTCTTGTTTGGTTCCTCACCGGCAAGCGAACATCAAGTCATTAGGCCGCGAACATGTAAATGAACTTGAAGTCTCCTGAATTAGGGATCATGAGGTACACCGAATGAACGGAATAGTCCAACAATTGTCATCCAACGCCACGCTATGCTATGCGACTCAGAGACCACGACTCGCGGGGGGGAAAGCTCCAAGACCTAGCACCACCTCTCATGTGGCTCTCTCCACTTAACTCCCAAGATCTCAAAGATCTTTCTCTCATCCTGGCCCTCAACCAATTCGCCCTCGGTCATTTTGACCCGACCAGGGCCCCTCATCACATCCTTGTATAAACCTCTCTGGTTTAACCGCATCCCCTTCTTGGATGCCAGTAGCCGGATGCTCCTGTTGAAAATGTCGTTGCCAGTAAAGTATATCAACGCCGCCCCTAACTCCGTTTCAGGAACAAGGAGGAAATCAACACGCCTCCATATTTTGCGGTAGTCTTTCTCGTTGAAGCCGTTGATTTTCGGCAAGACACAGCAACCGTGCCACTTGCTACCGTCTCCATCGTCTCGTGAGCTCGCTAACCTGGCGACGAGAAATCTCTGCGACTCCAGTACACGGACTAGTTCGTTCAGGAACGAGACGAGGTCAGATGTTGACTTGGTGCCCTTTTTTGTGATCAAAAAGTCGACATCTCCACTATTGTCTGCTCCCCTGCGATAGCTGCCACCGATGACGATTTGCACCGCCGGGTCCAACTTTGCTGCCTCCGACCTCACAACAGCTCCGAGAAGCTTGACCTCAGAACGTGGAATGCGAGTGTTTAGATCATCGTAGTGGTCGATGCCAACGTGTTGGTTTACGGTCAGCTTGGCCTTTTGCTTCAAGTCTCCGAGCGTTCTGAATCCTTGAGAGATCCAGTGGCTAGCTTGGACGCTGCCCACCCCGTATATCTTGAGGAACGTCTGCAGAATCTCATCCATAGGCTCACTTTCGGCATGCTCCAAGCGCTGGAGCCTATTAGTCGTGACGATCTCCTCGATCTTGTCCGCGAGTCTCTGGCCAACGCCGGGCAACCTGATTGCTTCTTCGGCCGTGGAAACTTTATTGGGCTGTCGTTTGAGTTGTGTGATGGCCTTTCGATATGCGATTGGGCGCCATGTATCATTTGTCCGTGTATAGTAGTCGCACATCTGTTGCAAGACCTCGATGGTGCGATTGTTCGGATTGGTCTTGTCGCCTCCTTTCGTCCCTCCCTTATAGCAGGCAAATTTATCTTCCCATGTCAAGTCTTTCCTGCTGTTAGACTTCGTGACAGACTGCTTCTTTCTCTGGCGCTCATCCTCAGAGCATTCACGTTCGGATTCTGGCTCGACTGGGTCCGAACTTGGCAGATCGTCTTCGTCACGTTCCAATGGCAGGTCCCTATATCTCTGCAATTGGGAAATGACTCCCTCGAGTTCGTCTCCGGATGCCAGAGCTGTAATTCCTGCTGCTGGACTGGAGGAATGGTCACCAGACCCATCGAAAACCTGGTTAGACAAGGTTTGTCCGGCTTCTGAATGCTGGACCGGTGTGATATCTCTCAGGACGGGAGGCGAATCTGGCGCCGGCTGTTGCTCACTTCTTCTGCCCAAAGAATCCTGACTTCGTGAAGGTGTCGAAGGGGGCGGTGCGTAGTCCCATTTGTCAGGCTTGGTTTGGCGCTTCTTGAGCGGTCGGTCCTGTAGGGGTGGCACTGGGAGTTGAGGTTGCTGATGTTCAACTGCCAAACTCGATGAGTGTTCCGGACATCCAAACACTTGGTATTGTTTCTGACCAGCGTTTAGCAATGTCTTGAACCGAACACAGTCGAGCGGGTATTCTTCGGTGACGACAGTATATGCAGGTGAAGCATTTGTAGAGGAAAGGATTTTCTCAATGTTCTTCCACTCCAGCTTCTTGTCTACAATGACGTGGGTCGCGTCCTCCAAAGTCCTCACCCAAGTGGCTCCGTACTCCTGTGATTTCCTGATACGAATCTTCCTGGCAGGTGCGATGTCGTCGTTGGGGATGAAGTAGAGGCGCATTCCGCGCAAGACCTGTTGCACCTCCGGCACAAGCTTGAGACTCGGCTCCCTCTTTCTCTTTTTCATGGCCATGATGGACGGCGAGTTGTCCGCCACGTGAGCAAGCAAATGCCGCTTTGCTGGGAGCGGCGTCGCGGCAATTCTTGTGAGAGTGGGTAGGGGCTGGAGGGGCTGCCTGGATGAAGAGTCCGGAATCGGAGTGTCCTCAACAAAACTGGTGTCTGCGGCCGGAGGCGAACCTCGATCTTTCCTTCCCGGGCCCTTGATCTCGGCGAGAGGAGTGCGTTCGATGACGTCCTTCCGCCTAAGCTCCACGAGGGGCGTCGCGGTCGATGCCGGAGCTGAAGTCGTCCTTGTTAGAGTTGGGTGAGAAGGAGGAGCAATGACAACTGGTGATGTTTCTTGCAACGGTTGACGAGGTTGCGCCGCGGCTTGGAAGGCCTTTAATTGTCGTCTGTGCTGTTCCTCGGCTTCCTCAAAGTCGTCATCACCATCATCTGCCAAGTAACCGATGGCGTCCAGATGATAAAAAAAGCGAGCTTTGTCTCTCAATGGGGTGTCTGTGTTTGTCATGGTGCGTCGACGATGTCCAAGAGGTTCGCGATAGCCCTGCTGTTGAACGCTGCTGAGCCACCGTCATGTCGAGGTTGGTTTGCTGCCTGGACTTGATGGATGGATGGATGGATGGATGGACTGAGCAAAGTTCGAGGTGGGCGAAGGCGACACCGAGACAAGGCAGCTTACCTGTTGGGGTGAGGTGTCAATTGAAGGGAGGGATGGACGGATGGGTGGATGTCTTTGTTATGGCCCATAAGGTACACACACCTAGGAAGGTATGTGCGATTGGAACTGAATATGGGTAGCCCAAAGGGGTGCGGCACCGTGGAGAACAGCGCTGCATTAGTGTTGTGGCCGCTGCAAGTCATCCAATTAAGCCATGCCTCAGCACTGACAGCTCCCCCACCGGTAAGGTATGAAGCACCCGTGGACCCAATAGGCTCTTTCCGAGCGGATTGGCTCCAGGCTGCATCAGATCGACTAGATGTGCATCGACACGGAATTCTTCAAGGCAAGATACATGCATGGGTCTCGGACTCAGCATACCTACCTCAGAGACATGGGATCTAGCAGGCTAATCCATCGGCATCCTGCCTCAGCCTCACCGGCCCCAACTTTCCAAACATTCATGCAGCACAGCACGGTATGTTCGACCAGCGGAACCCGCACCTCTTTCGCCTATTAGGTCTGCCAATCATCGCACTGGTGGTGAGACATTGAATTCCGTTTACTCGAACAAAGAAACTTATTTTGGTCTATTTGCCAAAAAGAACCAGCCCACAAGTCGTCGCCGGCTTGTCCTGCTTTGAGTGTATAAATTACAACAAGTACAGCGGTCAGGGAAGGACCGTCTCATCCTCCGCTTCCCATGGTATCACCGTAGCCCCAAACTTCCAAGTGTATGTACAAAACATCGCTCATTTCCGTCATAGTTTAACTCCTGGTAGTTGGTAAGCCCCACCTAGTAAAGATCCGGCTGTAGGCTTGAAGATGACTGTGGTATTGGATCCTGGTTGGGCCGGCAGCATTGCCGTGCTGTGGTAGGTTTGGTTGTTCCATCGAAATCTCCTTCCAGGATCCTTTAACTTTTATTCTTTGTTTTCTTGTTTGAATCGGCGCTGCGTCATAATCATGTATGGGGTTCACTGGGCGTGACCAAATTGTGGAGGGAAGTGTGATGATCCTGCGAAGTTACGAGCATCCATCAACGGAATGCTATTGTTCTTCTCCATCGGCTGGAAGGAAGCCATGTCGTTGGAGTAACGGCTGGCGGCCTCGTTGTCCATGTCATTCAGAACCTCCCTGGTAAGCTCAACATAGTCGTATGCAAACTCGCCGATCTCGGCGTCGTCGATACCTAGAATCTCGGCCTCCTCCGTGGCGCGAAGACGAAGGCCAGGGATCATGTTCATGATGAAAAGTATGATGCAAGTGCCAACGAAAGAATAGGCACCGCCAGTGAAGGAGTCAGCGAGTTGGTATCCAAGCTGAATCCAGTTGTGGTTGATCCAGCCGCCGTCGATGGTGGAAACGCCGTCCAGGTGCGCAATGTAGTTAGCAGCGAAGAAGGCCGTACAGACGTTGCCGACCAGACCGCCGATGCCATGGACGGCGAAAATGTCGAGGGCATCGTCAATCCTCAGAATGAACTTCAGCTTGGTGGCGTAGTTGGCAAAGGCAGCTCCAAGGACGCCGAACGGAACGGCAGCCCACACTGGGACGTATCCTGGAGTAAGTCAGTAAAGTGTGATTCGTGGCAGGTATACACTGCGCATCACGTACCAGAACCAGGAGTGATGGAGACCAGGCCAGCAACGACACCAGAGCAGAATCCGACCGTGGACCACTTGCGCTCCAGCCTGTAGTCCAGTACACACCAAGTGATACCTCCGACGCAAGCTGCGAGATTCGTTACGACAGCAGCAAGGACAGCGCGCAAGTTTGCCGAAAGCGCCGATCCAGCGTTGAAACCAAACCAACCAACCCACAGAAAGACGGTGCCAATAACAATGTGAGTGACATTGTGGGGTCGGTAGTTGAGCTCGTGGGTGCCGTGACCGCGGCGCTTGCCCAACATCATGGAGTAGGCCAGAGCGGCTGTGCCAGACGCGATGTGCACGGGTGTTCCTCCGGCAAAGTCGAGACCACCCATCTTGTTAGACCAGCCACTAGGGTTCCACGTCCAGCAGGCGATAGGATCGTAGATAACCGTCGCCCAGATAAACATGAAGATGACGCACGGGAGCATGCGTCCACGCTCGGCAACGGCTCCGGTCGCAAGAGCAACCGTGATGCACGAGAACATTCCCTGGTAAACGGCGAAGAGGAGATCGGGAAGGCGGTCGGAGCCTACGGAAGGTCGGGCGAGAACGTTCCTGAAGCCAAAGTTGGCCAGGTCGCCAATAAAGGCGCCTGCTGTGTGCGAAAAGGTGAGAGAATAACCCCAGAAGAACCATTGGAAGCTGGTGACGGCCGTGGCCATGACGGAGAGCCAGATGAGAGACAGAGCCGACTTCCTTCGGGCCAATCCAGAGTAGAAGAAACTGAACAAGGTGGTGTTAATCGCTGCACTGGTTGGTGACTGTCGTTTGGAAGTGATTGAGCTTACCCTACTCCGGGGATCATGAGCAGCACGAGAGCTGTCGCAGTGATCATCCATGCGATATCACCAGTCTTCAGGTCCCCTCATTAGCGGTCCGTCACATGGGCCTCACAAATGTTGGCCGCAACATACCTCGTACCAAATGTTGAGATCCTCTGTGAGAGAGTCTCCTCCCGTAGGGCCGGAGCCGTTGTATGGCACCAGGTGCACGTAGTCGAGGTCGTTGAGGTCGACCTGGTCGACCAAGTCTCCGAGGGACGCCATTGTTCTAGGTCGTTCGGTAACGCTCAGAGCCGATTCAGGAAATCGTATATACTGGGACCGCGGAGACAGTCGGTTACAGATCAGACCACACGGCCAGACGGGAAAATCGACAAAATGCTGAATCGAGAGGCCTTGTCGACAGGCTCTAAATGAGCGGAGGCTCGGATGGGAGCGCTGTATACCGTCGCGGGGTTTGCAGAAGAGACAGCAATGGGACAGGCAGCATGACGAGGCGTGAACCAGACTGTGTGGATGTGGGAGGCGCGAAGCTTATGAATGTGGATGTCGGGCGTTCAACACGCAGAGTTGCGTTGCGGGCGGCGGAATGAGTAGCCCTGAGAGTGGCGGGCAAGCTAGCGGGACGGACGGTACTTTGAAGTTCGCAGGCCTCGCCCGACGACTCCAGAGGCAGCAAAGACACCGACCGGCGGATCAGAGAGCGAGAGAGAGTCGCAGCATTACTGGGCTGTCCCACGGAGGACGCCTGGGAACTGCCTGGGCCGTTCAGGGCCAAGGCTTGCCGGACTAGGGACTAGGGTGTGGCCAAAGTTTTCTTTCGAGGAGGTTACGGGTGTGGGAGGTCGTCTCTCACGCTCTCACTCTCTCACTCACTCACTCACCCACCCACACTCTCCCACCTTCATCTTTCATACTCACCAATGCAGGCCTTGCAGGGTTTCCAGCAGGGTTCCATTTCCAGCAGGGCCAATCGGCAGGGGGGAGGCACGGGGGCGGAGGCTTATCGATTGCGACGTACCTATCCGTGGATCTATTCTAGTGCCTCTGCCGTCAGGGGTTTGGAAGGGGGATTGGATGAGTGGTCCAGGGGACAGACGAAGATGCGATACATTCCTAGCCGACGGCTTTTAACCTCCTACAGTATGTGAGGTCTGCCAACACAGCGATGCAGTCGGAGGGAAAAGCAACCTCAGACGACTACCTACGAAAGAAGAAGAAGACGGGTCGCCGTGTTTGGTTAGTGCGTATCTCGTCCAGGACTCCAGACCGAGACTAATCTTGGTGACTTGATCCAACCTGGCATCAGACGGCCTTGTTGGACGACGGCATGCAGAGCTCTTGAGAACAATTTCCATCAGCCCAAGGCCTTCCTTCGTTCGAATGCAGGTCACAATGGATGAAAAATGCATGTACTTCGTTAATTTGACCACGCCCCCTCCCTGCTGTATTACAAGGGTCCGGATTCCCATTGACTGGCAGAGAATCAATGGGGAAGCACCTGCCAGCCGCTGCTGTTATCAAAAGCAAGGGTTCCGGGTGTCTAGCGCGGCATAGATAACGGTCAGAGAAGCTACCTACAGTCGATGCCTCATATTCTCAGCTGTCGATTTGTACGTGCCGTTTCTCCTGTTCTCCGAGTAGCCGACACGCCATGTGTATGATGTGGTCATTGCAGTCCCGAATAAAGACGACAATGGCCAGAACATCTCCTTAGTCGCTACGGGCGCAGAGTTGGACAGATCCGGGGAGGCACAGCGACATCTCCTAGAACCCTGAGACGACGCACCAGCGGGCGAAGCGCTGTTTGCAGCCGGATGGACTTCCTTGCCAAGTACACTGCGAGGGCACCGTTTCGCTGGTCTGGCCATGGCGGCAACTGTGAGGAGCGCGACGGCATCGGCACGAGAGACAAACACATTTCGGGTAGGGCTTCGGTTCGGGATGGGTATTCACTATTCAGGGACAGACGGGAGACGAAAAATAGGCTTTAGGAGATGCATGGAAAGTGAACCGTGTTGTGTATGACCATGTTTCTTGAGACGAAATATGGAAAAGTCGGCCGTCGTCTGGTGTCTGCCTGAAACGGGCGGAAGTTGAGCAATCTCATCACTGTCATGATTCGCCCAGTGTCTGAGTCCTCCATCATCTCCGTTCATCTCGTCCGCCTGCCGTATTCGAGATGGCACTGAGCAGAGCAGACCAAAGCAGAGAATCAGAAGAGCAATATCCATAACCACCCAAGGTAGTGTAAGGACCTACGCAGTAGGCAAAGCTCCCCAGCTCTTAGCTTTGCAGCTTCCCATCTGGACATGGAGCCCATAACGCCGGTTTGGGGAAGTGGACAAGGATGACAAGGCAACCTTCCCGCCGCTACCAACCTGATGGGAGACCGAAGGCAGCCTACGACAAAAGAAGGCAGGGGCACCGGCCGAAGTGCCCGAGTAACTGCACTTTGTCATGATAAGCCATCCGCGGCTGATTGGACGATACCGCTCCGATGAGAACGCGGCAGGTGCCCCGGTGCGTGACAGTGGGGGCCGGCCAGCTTCCAGTGGCATTCACCTTCGAACCTTCTTTGCTTTTCCTGGACCCCTGCCCATCCACGTCCCATCCATGCTCCGCCCCTGCTTTCAACATCACTTCCTCCAGTGTCTTTCTCCTCTCCTCCTTCTGCTGCGCTGCTGCGAGTCACAATGTCCGTCAGTCTGTCTCTCCTGCCCACCCAATCAAGGCGCGCAGGACTTGACTTTAACAGCGCGCTCTCTCGCCGTTGAACCGCGCACGAGACAGACTTCATGCCGTGGGACAACCAAAAACATATTCACTCGGCATCAACCGACTTTTCCACGCGGATTAGTCTCCGTACATGAACCAGCCCGCCGGCCAGCGTCTCAATCTCTCTAATGCTACGCCAGAGGTAGGTTTGCTTGAAACAGAAATGCTCCGGCGCCAACAGCGCCCTGTCTTGATTATCCATCTCACCGAAATCACCAGTGCTTCATCTCGGCCTGCAGGGATATCAACCCGCCCTACCACCTGTCCCACACGGACTCAAGGACCGTCGGCTGCACCAAGCCTCCCGGGCTTTTGTCCTGCTCTCCTCCTACTGGCATCAGTGCTGGCCACTCTCTTTCCAGAACAGGCATCTTGAGTGGTTCCTCGCCCTCGTTGTCGTAGGCACCTGTTGACCCAGCCAACTAGCGTTGCGCTGTGCCTGGCATACGATATGTACTACGTATGGGGGCTGTGGATAGCGCAATATTGGCTACTACTCTTCGCAAGTGCTGCCACAGTCAGCTCAGAGGCCGTGCGCATGTTGGGCTTGACCATCCCCCACGGCCAACTTTGATCTGCCACTGCAGAAGGTTTGATAGAAGACTGGCGTGAGCCATCACTATCATCTGTCGGCAGGGGAGATCGAACGGCCCCCTTGTCAGATCATGGAATTTCTCTCACTTTCTAGTCATACAGTCATCTCCAAGGGTGTTTATCTCCCCAGAGTTAAGGGGGCCAAATCCTACCTCCAGGAACCATCTCCGAGCCTGCCGTCACGTCATTCCACCGCGGCTTATGATCCGCGCCAGCAAATGCTCGCGACTCCGCCTCCCCAGGTGCTTGGCCATATCAACACCCCTCTGCTTCCTCGCGAGCCAGCCCTTGACCATCTCGTCAGCTACGATATAAGTTACGGGGACACGCGAAGTGTATGCGTCTCTGGTTGTCGACGACTGTCCCTCATAAACTGGTTGTAATCTGAAGATGGCGTTACTCAGAGAAGCGCTAGATGGCCGCATCTACAAGCACCAAAATTTGAGAATTCCTGAAGATACGCCAAATAACCAGCCGCTTCTCGAGATGGTATTACTATTATCGGTTTACATGCAGTTCGTCACTGCCACCACTGTGCGGGCACGGCCAGAACGTTAGATTGGAACACGAGAGCCACAAAGTCTTGAATACTTCCTCAAACAGAAGGCGGGTAGGCCCCAGTCATGCCGCCCCTGAATCCCAGAGCAAGTCTTGGAAATGGTTGGAAATGGGTAAACCTCCATCATCGACAGCAGTGTTGGATCTGGGCTTCGGCAGCTACCTTGCCTGCTCGATGAGCCGCTGCTGAACGGCACCTCGGAGTCGGCTAGGCCCGATGGAGTCTTGCAGACTTCCATCAGTCTGGCCCTTGCAGCTAGCTCGAACGCGCGCGTTGTAACCCCCCAGCAAATGCTTCGCAAGCAGTGTCGAATCTAGCCTTGTCCCGCCGACGAAGCTTGGTGGCCAACCTCGGACGGCGAGCAAGTTATCTCGGTGCTTACGATAATACTAACAAGGGGTTCTGTTGAAACGTTCTCGTCCATGTCGCCTGCATCAACCGCATTTCACGCGGAAGCGCGGGAGAAAGCCGCGTAATTGTGCTTACAGGTGAGAGCTAGCAGGATTTCGTAGACGATAGAACAATCCGGCCCTGAATCTAAGCTTCTTCTCTACTCTGCACTGTGGTTTGTGACATGGTTCATTTTACCCCTTTATGGCTACCCGTTTGCCAAAAGTATGACTGGCGAGTAACGAAGTCAAATTGCAGCTATGCAAGCATTAATCGAGCTGAGCCATAATGCCAGACGATATGTATCATTCTCTCCACCGACTGTACTATATCAGTTTGGGTAGGAGACCCTTACCTTCTTCTATATATTTGTGCACATGTATTTGGGCCGCATTGGAGAAACCCCCATCATTGCGGAAGGGTGAAGCGTCCGGCTTGAAATAATGGGTTATGCATTCTGTTGCTCAGCTCCATCTCTACCGAGGCTACCAAAAGTTGCTTATCGTCGCCATGTCAGTCTTGCACGGTGATGTTCGCATTATTTGCCCGTGGTCGGCTGTGTTCAGCATTGACAAGCGGTCCTCTGGCGCAGTGTCTTCCGTAGACAGATGGAACGATGTATGACGGCCACGACGAAAATCACCTCTCGTGAGCCCGACAAGTAAAGAATCTATCTAGTACATTGAGTAAACCTAGGCTACCCCTCGCTGACTGTATTATCTCTTAGACACTCCGGCTCCCAATGACTGCGATCAGACACCTGCCGACAGAGAGCCTGCCAAACAGGTAGAACCAACCACATTGACAACCCTTCCTCCAACTTAGCTAATCAAAGCCCCTCGCGGGAGCAATGCCCAGTGTCCACCACAGGAGCACTTCCGCTGCTGCGCCAGGACGAACGTGAAGCCGGGTCTCGAGCCAGAGGCATCTTCCATAATAGCAGCGCACCGTACACAACGCCTCCACTGCGGCGTCTTCGCCTCCTCGAGCTCCTTGGCGCCTCTGACCGGCGGACCGACCAGCTCGACGCGCTTGAATGCGTCGATGTACTGGCCCCGCGCCTTCCTGGCTGACAGAGAGCGGCGGTCGTCGTCAATCTCGAGGAGGTCAAAGTCTGCAAAGAAGAGCTTGGACGGGTCGGTCTGTGCGCGGTAGTTCTTGAGGTCTGTGTTGAAAAACTTGAGAAGGACTTGGAGGAACGATGGGGGTGGAGAGGAGGCTAGAAGCATGTTGAGCTCGCAGTGGAACTGAGCGCCCTTGATCTGTTGCTCGATGGCTTTTGGGTTCCCCTGAGCGCCGGCGGGGTTCTTGTTCGCTAATGCCGCGAGAGACGTCTGATAGGCCGAGCGGATATCGTTATTGAGCACGGTGAGGAGGCGGTCGAACTCTTGTACTTTTATGAGGCTACTTGATGTAACGCGCTGCATCTTTTGGTATGCCTTGTAAAGGACCGTGTGGAGGTTCTTGGATGTCGCGGCGTTGGGGTCGTTGGCGTTTGAAATCGCAGCTCGACGCTCGTAGAACTCGATGGCTCTGTTGGAGAGGATCTCGAGGTGAAGTATGCGGCGGCAAACGGCAGAGAGGAAGCCACGTGTAGAAGAGCAGAGGAGGAGATGGAGCGAAACGTCAGAGCGGGACTGTAGGTAGGCGCTCATTTCTGAAAAACGCTGCGGGGTGAGGAGAGCGAGGAACTGCGGATCGTCCAGAAGGGCGAAAAGAGAATCAGTGAGCCACGAGAGCAGGTCGAGAGACCACTTCGCGCATCCCGAGAGGGCATCGACGACTTCGTGCTCGTCCAAGGGGCTAAGCTTCTCGCGGATGTTGACCGGTGTGTTACTGGCGATTGTGATGAGGATGACGACATTGCGCGCGTTGAGAGCTAGCATCGCAAATTTGCTGCCAAAGGAGCGTGGCTGGAACATTCCCTTGTATCCCAAGTGATTGAGAATGCTCAGACACATTTGAAGTGAGCTGTTCCGGACGAGACTATCGTGATGGGTGTCTTCAGAGTAATCCACGGGAATCTTGAGCATGCGAACAATCTCGTTCATCCAGTCGAAGGTGAAGCCTGTTCAAGTCAGATGGCTCGGCAGGAGAAAGGAGAAAAGGCCCACGCACGCTTCTTTTCTGCATATGGCCTTGCAACGGCTAGGATATCGTCGTAGTTGATACTGTTGAAAGTCGCTGTTGACGCAGCTACTGTCAGGCCCGCCAGAACTGCGGAGTATTGGGCTGTCATACATCAGTCAGGGCTACAATGACAATATCAATGGCTAGATATCATTACCCTCTTGGTTGGAGTTTCCGATATCCCCCAATGGATAGTGCAATCTTGTCCATTTCACTTTCCCGTCGTCCTGTATCTTGACCAGGGAACAGTTGGTTGGGGACAGGGCTGCTTGTAGACCTGTAGGGTTGTGTAAGCCGAGGTTGCAAATAGGAAAAAGAGTCTGGGCTCACAAGGGGAATCATCCTGAAAAGTGAAGCCGACTTGGTGGAGAGACATGATGCGCTCCAGGTTCATTTCGTTGTAGATTTCCTGTAATGTGAAGCGGTCGCGGTACTCCACAGAGCCGTCACTAAACGCCAGACAGACGACTCTGCCGTATTGTAGACTATGGACACCGATGATTGCTTTGTTAATTACCACGGGGTCGTATTTCTTGAGGCGAGATGTGGGCTTGGGCTGTGCCGGGATTTAGCATTAGTCACTTTTCGTGTATGGCTCTATGCTTACTGTGGGCGCCGAGCCCGTGCTATTTCTCCGGTTTCCCAGCTGCTCAAAGGCAGGATGCAGACTTTGGGGTTGGTCGTTGATGACCTCCCATTTGTCAATGATGCTCTGTGTTTCTTGGTACGGGGTATTCGGGGTTGGCAAGTAAGTGCGGACAGCGAGAATGACGAGAGGAGCCCATCCCTGGCCAGTCAAATCCATAGTCGATGGCAAGATCTCCAGGTGTGTTAACTGTGTCATGGCGGAGTCAATCGGCGACGTACTTGATCCGCCAGGCAACCAGCTGGAGATGGCGACGTGCTTTTCTTGCATTGTCGGGTTCAGCGGCTGGCTCCCTGGGGGTGGCTTGTTGTCTGATTGTGACTGCGGTAGACCCCAGTGTATGCCCACCCTCACAACTTTCAGTTGCTTGGATGCAGTAGCCAGAACCACCCACAATGAGCCTGCATAAAACGTTAACGACTGCGGTGGTTATGATGCCGAGTTACTCACTCTTGTCGCTGTGAAGGGCAGCATGTGTGATCAAGTCGTCAGATGAGTTGATGCTCTCGAGCTCCAAGGTTGTCTCTTCAATCTTGTTGTTGTTCTGGGCCCAGAACATCTTCAAATTACCGTTTGCTGTGACGCACAGCAAAGCACTTTTTGACTGATTGGGGTGCCAAGGGCCATACGCATGGACGAAAGAGCTCTCGTATCGATACTGATTTCCATCCTTGACGGCTGGTCCATGACACACGTAGTACTGAGCATGAGCAGGACGTTAGCGGGGGAAAAGATGATGCTTCGAACTACTAACCTGCTTGCTTTGAGGGGCCAAGGCAAGCCAGTAACAACCAACGACAGCGTGAAGGTCGTCGCATGGCTCGTGGTCCCATTTCCGAGTGGCAAAGGGTCGGTTTAGGTTGATGGAGTAGGTCAGTATTGAAACCCGCCCTGTTGCGTCGATGACAGCCAGCTCGGGGCTCGCGGTCGATGCCCAAGCAAGATGAACAATAGGGCTCGATGGATTCGTGCTGACGAGTTCAACCTTTGTAGGCTCGCTGAGGCCCCATTCGCCATTGTCGGGGTGAGAACGCAGAAACCTGGTTTCCAGCGACCTGCCATCTGGAGAGACGGAGGCGATGGCGCCAGATCTCGACCAGGCTACTCCCCTAGTATTTCAGTAAGTACAAGGCTCATAGTTGTTACGAAAGTGTGTATAAGAGGGTGCTCACTGGCAACAGCCACGAGTTCGCAGTTCATCTATCCTCTGGCGCAGCTGCTTGGAGGGGGGGCGGGCGGTTTGGAGAGACAGGCCAACGCCAACGCCAACTCCTACGCCGACGCCGACGCCGACCCCGTCGCCGAACAGGTCATCGACGTCGAGCTGATCAACTTGCATGGGACCACCGTTCATGGCATTGTCCAGCATAAGAGGCATCTTTGCTTCAGTCATGAGGGCCTTTAGTCCCAATATTGACGTTTACGAATGCTTGTGCGTATCCAATCCAAAAATCCAACGTCGTCAACCACTAAGATTCGTCTCAGTAAGGCTGTAGGGTTGAGTTCAGGGCGACGACTTTACAAGCCGGCTGGAGGTCATCTTCCGGAGCAGTTGAGTGATAGAAAGTTTACCCTACCAGTTAGACTGGAACCGAAAATGCTGCCCGGAAAGTATGGACAGGCAGGCTGGATGTCGTCGTTTTGTGAGGTGGCTTCGAATTGGATGGGTAAGGTAGGTTGGCACGTTGGTAGGTCGAGTCGACAATCAGTGATTTGTTGGAACCAATGGGCGTAACGATTGACATGAACACACGCTGGACCCTCTACAGTGCAGAGGACCTTCCAGGTTGGCTGCTGGGTGGAAGGTACGCCAGCGGATCCTTACCTCAGCCTCAAATTCTCAGGATGGTAGAGTGGAGACGCGTCTTGCTTCCCACGGGATTGAAAGCTTACCTCAGCCAGCCACATGTCTGGTTGAGCCACATATGTGTCAGCCACAGTGAGGCTGAAGTCTACTCTCTAAGGTAAGATTTGAGGTGCGGTGCGCCCTGAGTGATGTGCATTGCGGCAGTCCACACAATCTCAACGCCGTGGGGAAACAGCGACCCGTGACGTCCGTCCGATGATCCCTGCAGGAAAGGGCCGGGCCCCCAATCGATTGTGACAGGGAAGGGCAGACGGACAGACGTGGACACGGGGGCGAGCAATGTTTCCGAGCAACGGGCGTCCACTCACAGTTCCCTCCAGGCTCCGGTTCGCCTGCCTTGTGGCCCTGTGGGCTGCGGTAAAGTACCTACTTAGACACTAAAAGGTACCTACGAATACCACCGCAGTCTGAACCGGTACTTCACAATGTGTTGTCACTTTTCGTGGCGCCCGCGACTCGGCCGCGTTTCAGCCGACCATGGCCGCCGCTTGCATTGTGTGATGACGGTTGAAGGACGAGAGTGCTCTGTGCATGGCACCGTCATATCTTACCAACTTACCCAGGGCCATCAAGAGACATGGAAAGAGTCTTCATACCATACACTCAATCATCACTGCCTAGACTGAAGCATGTTGGCAAATCTCATGCTCAGCCCATGAACGGATGACGTAGTGCTGGCCAACTATGTTCTGCGCGACTTTGCACGCGAGCATTGTTTACCCTGGCATTTGCGCCCAATTGATGGAGTTGAAAAATCTTGAGAGATCACGTCCGCGCATATAGCCACCTTCCACACACACGGAGGCTGAAAGGGACTTGTAAGACCTGGGCTGTTGTGCACTGGAGTAGCCAGCTGCATCTCACCGCTGGATCGACAGGCCACTTGTGACGGCCCCATACATGGCTGGTTGAGAGAGAAGATGTAGGAGAAAGGTCGAGTACGGGATCGAGTCATTTTCGACCAGCAGCTAGAAATACCTAAGCGGCGGGGTTGCTCGTCAGCAGCCGGATGTCGCATGATTCCCAAGGAACAAAACGAAGTAAGTGTAGGTATAGCAGTTGAGGGAAGAGGGGAACGGCTCAATAACAAGAGGGGAAGGGCGGTTGGGACTTAGCACAGAAGCAGGGTGTTTTGCAGATGGCGATGTATCTCTTCTGCAGATTGACGCAGAACGGTACCACGGACCAACGACCGGAAGGTGGAGTCGCTGTTAGATCTTTTTTCCTCAGTGTTTTTTTTTCTTCCCACCTCCAACATCAGAGGCGAGAACCAATGGGAAATTAAGCGACACTCTCGCTGGAGGCCGGAACCAAAACAAAAGGCACCTACCTTAGGTAGCTAACGTGCCGCAGACTGTAGTGGGAGCGTGCGCGAACAAGAAGAAGCGTGGCACCGAACCCAGCCAGAACCGCCAACGCGCACTAGCCACCGGACGGGTACTCCTGCCCGCCCGCATCCCCATCTGCTACGGCGCCGTCGCCGGCTCTTGTTCCTCGTTCCTCGTTCCTCTCGACTTTTGCTTTTCCCTTTGCCTTTCTGATTGCTTGTGTGATCTGAATCTGACAGTCATTCTGATGGTCGGGCTCGACCCTCTAACACCCCCCTTTTCCTCCACACTCTGCCTCACCGTAACTGCCCTCACCTCTGTTCTGCCCTCTCTGTCTCTCTCTCTCTCTCTTTCCGGCTCTTCCTAGCTTACTGGCCGGCCACCTTACTCAGTACCCATCGCACCCAACAAGATTGTTGTTATTGACGGCACCTCGCTGCGCTGCTTGCCCTACTTTATCTGCCCTGCCCAAGGTTCCAAGTCATCAGCCGCTCTCATTCCCGCCGCCGCTGCCCAGGTCCCAAAGGCCCCTTCCTTCCCTCCTCCCCCCTCCACCCCCCCTTCTCCCTCCGTGCCCCATCCATGTACGTCTGCGTACAGGTTGTACGGACAGGTACTTGTTAAGGTACCCTCGCCCGGATCCTCTCTCCACACCTTGTCTTTCTTCAACGACACTTCTCATCTCCCGTGGACAGCGAAAACCCTTTCAACCCTACCTTGTTGGAGAAAGGACTATTCAACCAGCATACACCTTTACAATCGCCATGGTATAGAACATTCTTGCTCATGACTTTCTTTGCTTTTATCAACCGTCTTCTCTCCTCCAATTCCTTGTCTCCGACCACCGATACCGACACCGACACCGAAATGGACGCACCTTCCTCCCCTTCAAATATGGGTGTCGACGCGCATCAAAACACCTCATCTCCCTCCGACTCGCCCCTTTCATCGCCCCTGTCGCTTCTCTCAAAGTCGCCCTCAATACCGTCATCCCCTGAAGCCGATCTCGACGCGTCAAAACGTTACCCTTCCCCGACCTCCTCCATGCCTTCGGGTGCTCAGTCACCAGTCAAGCTAGAGACCGCCGATGAATCCGTCCCCGCCATCAAGCTCGATGACCCTTCCGACTCTATTAACGTGAACTCGAGCGACGCCAACGAAGGCCAGCCTCCCCGAAAGCGTCGCAAGATCACACCTCCCAAAGAGCGCACTACCGAGCATCTTGACTTGGAGAGCTGCAGCGAGAATGACGAGAAATTGGCCCGCCTGGTCTCCGCATTGAAGAAGAGGAAGAAGATTGTCGTCATCGCCGGTGCTGGGATTTCCGTGTCCGCAGGCATCCCCGATTTCCGGTCCAAGAAGGGTCTTTTCGCAACTTTGCCCAACGATCACAAAATGAAGGGGTCCGGCAAGCATCTTTTCGACGCGTCTGTCTACAAACACGACTCTTCCACCGAAAAGTTCCACAAGATGATTTGCGATCTGTCCAACATGGTCAAGGCCGCCGAGCCGACGCCCTTCCATCACCTACTAGCCTCACTTGCCCACGAAAAGCGATTATTACGACTCTACAGCCAGAATGTCGACTGCATCGATACCAGCATGGAGCCTTTGAAGACGGCTGTTCCTCTCAACACGAAGGGACCCTGGCCAACGACCATTCAACTGCACGGCAGCGTTGAACATATGGTATGCTCCAAATGCGCCGACATCAAGCCTTTGAAAACAGAGCTTTTCGTGGGTCACGAGGCCCCACTATGCGAGGAGTGTGTTATGATTGACACACTCCGAACTCAGTATGAGCAGAGGAGGAGCCACGGCATCGGTCGCTTGCGACCCAGAATGGTACTCTATAACGAGTTTAATCCTGATGAAGAGGCCATTGGAAAGGTTTCCAGCGTCGACCTGAAGTCGCGTCCAGATGCCGTGATTGTTGTCGGCACTAGCCTGAAAATCCCTGGCGTCAGACGACTCGTCAAGGAGCTGTGTCAGGTGACCCGCAGCCGCAGGGATGGGTTTACCGCATGGATCAACACCGACTCGGAACCTCAACACAACGATTTCAAGGACTGCTGGGACCTGGTTGTCCGAGGAAAGTGCGACGATGTCGCTCATTGGGTCAGCTTGCCACGGTTCGATGAGCCTCAGAGCGGGGATAGCCCTTATCTTAGTGAGGAGGATGAGCAGCAACGTCGGGCTAGGCTTTTGAGAGACAACTTGCTGGTAACTCTCCCCGGGTCGCCCACCAAATCCGACTCTGGATCTGCAACCGAAAACAAGAAGCGCAAGCTTGTTGACCCCATCCAGAGTATTCCTACTCCAACAGCCAGTCCTAGAATCAAGGCAGCCGAGACTGGGAAGAAAGGACCCAAATCAAAACAGAGCAAGCTCTCGTTCGGTGGCCATCAAGTCGCATCAGACACCGATGTGTCAGCCAAGAAGGTCAAGAAGACAACGGTCAAGAAACCTCGCAAATCCAACGGCAAGAAATCTAACGAGCCGCCCAAGAATGCGCTCAGCCAGACCTTCAAGACTCAGAAGAATCGCGAACTTGCCGATATGCCTCAAGAGACACTCGCCGGCAAACTGGACAATCAGCATTACAAATTTGCAGAGGACAAGCTTGCTTCTCTGCTGCCACCTCTGCGACCCGAAGCCCAGAAGCCGGCCAAGAACATTTACTACCCTCAAAAGCCAGCCGCGGAATCTGCTCACGATGACAAGACACCGTCATCAAAGTCATTTGAGAACATCACACGGCCCGCCTTGACAGAGCGTCCGAAGTCATCGCCTGCCACCAGCAGCACGCTGGAAGGTATGCAGAGCGACATGCGGCCGGCAACACCCATGCATGAGCGACGTAAATCCGAGACCATTTCGCCTCAGTCTATTCCTAGGGGGATGGAGCAGCTGATGGACTGAAGACGAAAACAACGCCCACCTTATAGGTGCAGCCAATATTGATATTTGTTTACATTTTATGCATAGAGGACGGATTCGTCATGCTGGTACCGAAGCGTTCGGGCCACAACCAACGATCATTGGGATGCTGTTATTTTTATGAGAGGAGTTGGCCTGGAATATTATTACGCCGTTTTCTAGCTATGTACATAACGTCGACTCCTTGTACAAAGGCGCCCCTGCAGTTGAGGTACGAGCCATTATGATCTGGGTAGGACAGGCGGAGGCTTTCTCAGGCGGGCTCTCATAACCCTACCGACGTACAAAGAGGCGCAGAGAGCATGGACCAAAATAACGGAATAGAAGGCGTTGTGTCTCCGGCTGCGAGACAATATCGTTAATATATCACTTGATATGCACCTGGCCTTTGGGCGCTTTTCCGAGTTAATTCATATGCAGTCTGGTTTTGTTGGGTTCCCAATGGTCACACAGCACGGAGATGGAGATACTGCCCAGCAACAAGGGCTCTTCGTTGTCGAATATGCCCGGGGCGTGCGGTACGCTACATACGCCAACAGGTCTTTCTTTGCGCGTTCTGCGGATGTCGGCCTCAGGTGATACCTGACAACATCAGCGACTCTCCCAATTGCGTTGTTCTTCTGTTCCTTCATCCGACGACAGACGAACATGGCCATCTTCTCACGTTCACATTCGCAATGCAGATTCAACGAGAAGTATTAAATAGATTTGTAAGGCGGAGTATTCCGCCATCTCTTCGTGGGGGCTCTGCGCGATCGCGGGGCGTCTTTTCCACCGCCGACCCCGTCGTAGGGGTCCGCGCACACCCAATCTTGTTCACGAATCAGGGCTCTTTTGGCCGTCAAGATACCTAAACACATGCAGGTCCCTTATTTTTGTGCTCTCTGACTCCCCTCGCTGCTTGTAAATACTCTAATGATGAGGACATATGCTCTTTCCATGGGCTCGACAGGTCCAGCGTGACTCACGGCGAGTTCCGCTCTGGGCCCAACCGACAAGAAGCCGAGCCATGTGGGCACGCGAGCCCACGTCCAGTCGAACACGGCTGACAAGGCTGCTCACCGAGCAGAGACAAGGCCAACGTCATGTGACCGCGACCTCGACGCCTCTGATGCTTCTTCCGCGAATCAACGTTGTCACCTGGTCCACACGGTAGATGTGCCTTTCTCTCGTCTGCCCCCTATGAGACCAAAGAGCAGGAGAAAAGACACGATGCTTTCGCAAAACTCCAAAACGGGTCGTCCTGTACCATGCAAGTCCGGGTATGTTGTAGTTTATCATTCCCTCGCCTCGACAAAGATGCCTTCCTCCCTAAGTACCGAAACGCCGGGCCAATGCTGAAATAAACACGAATCATGACTTGATCGAAACTCTGCAGAAGGAAAATGCCATCCGCTTTTCTGTGTTGTTTTATCATGCGAGATCTTGCACCTAGGAGGCGGCAGCCGTGCCATTCGCCGCCACGGCAACTGGCTTGTCTCCGTTTTGCTTCTTCGCTTCTCTGTCCCGCAGGACTCTATACATGGCGCTCAATCGGTCGCCTGTCACCTCATTGCTAGTGCTGTCGACAGGCCAAAGATTCGCCAAGAATTCCCTATGATTCTGTTAGTATGTAGTGACTTGAAAAGCATCGTGTCGATGTCTCATACCAGAAGCGGTTCTTCAGCGAGTCATCGCGTTCCTTGACGAATTCGCGATCCAAAAAATTGCCAATGACAATCAACTCTTCGCCGAAAATCTTGGCCCGCTCCTTGCTAGACTTGACTCTTTCCTTTGTCGTACACAGGATAGCCTCAAAGTTTGCTCGAACTGGCTTAAGCAGATACCATAGCATGGCATCTGCATCCGTCTCCCGCTCCTCCTTGTTGTCTCCCATCCTGCGCAGCTGGTCCAACCGACGCAGGGCCTGGTTACGGCGATCGCTGTCGGGCTGATTAGTTCTTGGGGTGTTGCTCGAACGGCGGCGGTCATCGCCATGCCGGTTGTCGTCAGGTCGGCGAATCTTTTGGCTGCGTTCACCATCATCACGGTGTCTGCGCTGATCAGCCCTCGGAGATTGTTGCTCATCGCCATTATTCTTAGTACGGCGAGTCTCGTCCATTCTCCGATGCTTGGGAATGCGGCCTTCGTCATGCCCGGAGTGCTTCCGCTTTGAATCAGGTCGCGGCGTTCCTCGCTCTTCGGCATTGCTGCGGCTGCGATGGTGCTCGCCGTGGCTGCGTTCTCGATCCCTGTAAGAGCTGCTCTTCTTTAAAGCCGGTGGTGCAGGGGACGCGGCGGCGCTACCCACGTCACTGCGCCGGTGCCCGTTTGTCAATCGCTTGTTATTGCGATGGTGATTTTCGACAGTTCGGTGGGCCAGTGGGTCTGTAGAGTGCTTGGCCTGGAGCACAGAGAGCAGGTACTCCGAACGGCGCACCAGATGAACAGCACCAGGGGAGCTGACGCCCTTGTCGGAGGCCTTGTTCCGCTCTTCCTTCTTCTCAATACGGTGTTCTTCGAGGAAGAACTTGTCCCCCATGTCCAGCTGAGGGTCGTCTCGGATCTGCGTCCACGCGCCAAAACCATACCGGTCAATGCCAACAAGCAGCATGCCATCCTCTCGTGCGCCCCACTCGCAAGTGTAATGGGCAGCCTTAGTCGCGTCGGCGAGGCGAAAAGTCTTAAAGTCATCATTCTTCTGCAAGATTTGACGAAGAAGTCGAAGTTGCTGCGGCCGCTCTATTGCGGTTTCGGCGTTCATCTTGCGAACTTCGCCGAAGTCCACCAAAACTGCCTTTTTGTCCTTCTTGGTCAGGGACTTCCCGAGCTTCCTTTCGTCATCCATTAGGCGTGCGCTGTTCTCGTCGAGTGCGTCGCCACATCTCTTGGTGAAGTCATCCAGAATGGATTTGAGGAAGTCGCGGTCACGTCCTCCAAGTCTTGCTTCTTGAATGATCTCATCGCCGCGGTCTTCCATTGAGCCGTACCGAAAGAAGGCCTTGAGAAGATTGCGGGTTTCCTTTTCATTGAGTGGCCGCTTCGGGTCTGACAGTAAAGCACGTTGCTCTTCGGCCTCCTGCCGTTGTTGTTCTTCTCTCTGGCGCTTCTTTGCGAGGCGGTCCGAACGGTCCGTCTCGCCTCCATGCCGGTTTTTGATCGTAGCCCTCCGTGGTGCACTCTCAGCAGCGACCTTTGCGAGATACTCCTCATTCTTCCGATGGTCCTCCTCGGCTTTGATGACGGCAAGTTCCTCTGCAGGAATAATCTGGTCCCAGTCCAGTGTGAGATCGTCCACCTTTACGTCAGTGTACTGCATGAAATTGTCCCAGTCGATGCCACCGCTGCTCAGGTTCATCTTGTCGTCAACCTTGGTCTTAGTGACTTCAGCGTTCTCCAAGATGGAGTCAATGTCCAGCTGTTCAAGTCGTTCCTGGTTTCCGGTCTGCTCGAACATCTTCTGAGAGCGCATCTTGAGGATCCATTGAATATCTTCCGCAGAATTGGGGCCGTCGACCCTAATGCCTTTCTTGTTCATCTCGTCGCGGAAAGCTTTTCCATCATCGGTGACGCCAGCCTGAATAGTGAGATATTCAAGAAGTAGCTTGTTGCGGGCTCGCTCAAGGACTTCTTCCTCGACAGTTTCTTTTGACACAAGGCGGTAGATGCTGACTGGTTTCTTTTGGCCAATTCGGTGAGCACGGCCCATCGCTTGCAGATCAGCTTGCGGGTTCCAGTCAGAGTCGAAGATGACGACGGTGTCTGCAGTCATCAGGTTGATACCGAGACCACCAGCTCTGGTAGATAAGAGGAAGCAGAAATCCTCGCTGTCCTCGGCATTGAAGTGATTGATCGCCAGGCGCCTGGGGCCTGCGGCAATGGTTCCATCAAGACGCTGAAATTTATACCCTCTCAAGACCATGTAGTCGCTCAGGATATCCAGCATTTTAACCATCTGACTGAAGATCAGGACTCGGTGGCCGTCCTTCCTGAGCTTTGTCAACAGCTGGTCGAGAAGCATCATCTTTCCACTGCTGGCAATCAAACCCTTGATCTGGTCTTCACGACGGGTACTGCCGGCCAGCACTCTGTCTTCGGCACCGGCAAACATGTACGGATGGTTGCTGACTTTTTTCAACTCCATCATGATATTCAATAACGAGTTCTTCTGGCCGGTCGCGTCGGAGAGAGCAGCATAGTTTCTGGTCAAGATGTTCTTGTAGTACTCCAGCTGGACATCGGAAAGCTCAACGCGAATAATCTTTTCAGTCTTCGGCGGCAAGTCTGATTCGACAGTCTCTTTGGTACGGCGGAGGATGTAAGGAGCGATGGATTTATGCAAGTCTTGCAGCTTCTCCTGTGCGTCATTTCCTGCCAAGCTCTCGAGCTCCTCGTCAATGATGACTTTGCCAGGGTTCAAGAAGTCCATGAGTGCCGAAAGTTCAGCAAGATTGTTTTGAATGGGTGTGCCGGTGATCAAGATTTTGCAAGGAATTCCGAAGCTCACAAGTCTTTGATACAACTGCGATTCCTTATTCTTCAGACGGTGAGCTTCATCGACGAGGAGGGCCTGCCATTTGATTGTCGAGAGGAATTGCCAGTCTTGGAGAATCATCTCGTAGGAGGTAATCAGAGCGTTGAACTTGGGCTTTTTAGGGTTGCCGTTGACGATGAGTTCGTTTTCACGAATGGTATTGCGAGCAGTCTCGTTTCCGAGATACACGACATAGTTCATGTCTGGAGACCAATTGTCGAAGGTATCTCCCCATGCTGGAATGACACTGAGGGGAGCAACAATCAGGAAGGGGCCCTCTTGCTCCCGTTCATTGCGGAGCCAGCTGAGGAAAGAGACACTTTGAACGGTCTTTCCAAGACCCATTTCATCGGCGAGGATGACGTTGTTGGCGCGGGTCCAGTTGAGGCAGAGGAAATTCAAGCCCCTCAGTTGAAAAGAGCGCAGCTCGCCGCCTTTGATGTAATCAGGCTGCGCTTCCAGCTTCGTCATTCTTGTTCGCGTATCCGGATTCGACTCTTTCCGGTCCGATACCCATGAGCGCGAGGATCGGTCCAGATACTGGTCGATCTTGTCTTGGAACTCTGCGTTGATAGCAGATGCGGCTTCCCACGTACACTCGTCGTAGTAGCAACCCTTCCACTTGACGAGATATTCGTCGCCGTCATCGCCGTCTCGCACTGCGACAACTCTGTCTACTTTGGTAAAATCCTCCAACGCCTCTTCTTTTCGCTCGCGCTCCAAGAAGAATTGTTCCTTATTTTCGGGTGCGATGTCATCACCGAATCGGATGTAAAGTTCGTGTTCTACGACGGCTCTGTAGTAATTTTCGATCCTGCGGTAGCCTCGCAGACCGCGAAGTGTGTCTGTGGTCTCCCAAGTGTCGTGCATATGCGATTTCCCTTGCCACTTAATGTAGTATTCGAAGTCGTCTTTGCCGGAACTCCATGAGAGGTCGAGGTCGTCTTTTAGCTTATGCTTCAGGACCTTGTCGATGTAGGGAGAATCGTCAACGACGTCTGCAGCATAGTAATTGGGTGTGAGCTCGGACGCGTCTTCATCCTCATCGTCAACGTCGCTCTCTTCGTATGCTCCTTGCTGCACTTGGGCGGCCCGCCTACTGGACCAACGCTTCTCAGCGAAGACCACGTTTGGCTGGGCTTCTCGCTGGCGCCGTGCCTTCTTTTGCAGGCTTTTTGCGCGTGCACCGCCGTAGTTATCAGAATCGGAATCGGAGTCGACGGACGGCTGTCGCGCGGGAGTACCTCTTTTCGAAGCTGTCATGCCGAAGTCAGTCTAACGGTGCGGAAGGCATCGATGAGGAGGAGGGGCGTTTTACATTGTCTTGAGGTTTCTACACGTCTTCTCTTGATAGTCCTTCGGTTAGTAGGAACGACGTCGGAATCATCATCAGAGTCGTCGGAAGAATCGACCTAACATGGTGAAATCGTCAAGAACAGCCATCGAGGCGGGGCAGATTGAGGCACTCACCATCTTGCGCTGCTGTGTTGGGCGAGACTGAAGCAGTGGTTAGTGGAGAGACTCGTCTCATGGATCGCGAATCAACGTACGCTTCTTCTCAAGCCATACAGCTCTGGATTTGCTTTGATGTATTCGTCTTCTCTTGCGGCGACCTTGCGCTTTGACGGACGTTGAGAGTCGTTGGAGCTTGAATGAGCATCGCCAGCTCCGTCACTCTGGACAATGGATGCCGCGTCATCATCCATGTCAAAGTCTGCGTCATCAGAAGCATTATTATCATCACCGGAGCTGTCGCTCTCGGCAAAGTCGGGTGCTCCGTTGATGTATCCAGTCGAGTCGTTGGGATCCGGCGACGGCGACGATGAAACAGGTACTGCGGCATTATCGTGCACATCAGAGAGGTCACTATCGCTCTGGTGACCACGGGCGACTATTGGAGAGGGAGAACCGCCCTGCGGCGACCGGAACCCGTTTGTGGGACCGGGTTCGAGGGGGCTAGACATGACGATGGTCTAAGTCGAGGCTGCCTGCTATAGATGGAACGGCATTAGCCATGTGCCATAACGGTGAGAGGCATGGGCGCAGAAATAGCATAATGAGCCAGCTCTGGCGACAGGATATGTCATCATAGAACGGGGGAAAGCGCAATATTGATGGAGGAGGCACCCTCGTCGCATCGCAAAGACGCGATCGATGGAGACGAGGCTGAAAGTTGATGGCGGTGCCATTGTGCCCATCAGACGTAATAGATGCGCCGTGGCATGACTCCAGGGCATCAGAATCAGTCATGGGCGCCATCTTCATCAACCAAAACGATTCCAATGGCCACTAAGGTCATGGCCGATATGGATATCAAGATGCGAGCGCGCCAGCTCGAGGCTGAGATGATGGTTCGCGACGGGGATTTGGGCCGGCCGTTGCAAGGCCAGTATGGTGGGTGAAGAGGCAACTTACAAGTCATTAACATGTGGCCCCCAGGCAGCAAGTACCATTGATCTGTATCAGATGAGGTATTGAAGAAGGATATGGACAAGTGACGTTGCGTGGGTTGTCCAGAGCCTGGCGGGTGAAGGGTGGTGGTGGATGGAAAATGTACTGGTGGAGAGGCAGGAAAGAATTGAGGTGGATGCACGGGTGAGGTACAGGTGGTTGTAGCGCTAGCCGCACTGAATCACCCCCGAGAAAAGTGTCGCACATGGTGGCCTCAGGCACCGATCCGCTTGGGAGCCTTCAGCGAGCGGGCGACCCAGCCGGAGGGCAAGACCGGCAGTACGTACCTCGTTGCTATCGATAAGGTAAGCGTAGTCCGACTCTCGCCGGTGAATGAGCGAATGAGCGACAGGGGGTGGGAGAATGGGGGCCACGACCTCCAGCCTCAGCATCTGGGCTTCTATCAGCTCCATCAGCGCATCCCAGGCCTGTCAACCGCAACCACAGGCGCACGCGCCGCCGCGAGCGGGCATAGTTCACCGAGACTCGGAACCCCGCTAGCGCCGCGATTTCACCGCTCCCGTCTCGTTTCCCCACTCTCAACATCGCAACTCCGTTACTGCCGATCTGATAAACATGAGAGGCGGGATCGGACAACATTAAGGATCGGCTAGCTATCAGATTTACTTGCCGAGAGTAGAACAGACGTACTGACTCTAGTCTACGCTGTGACTTGATCGGTTGATGCCCACTGGATACCGATTTTCGAGCCTTCGCCCAAGATCAAATCCTAATGTCAGAAAGGTTTTTAGTACCTAGGCAGACAGTCGTAGAATCTGCCCTGGTATGCTGATAAGTAAGCTAAAGCAAAGTTTCAACTGGAAGGTTTGGTTAAGTTCTGAACAGAAATTAGTGTTTCGATGTGTTCAGAATCTGGAAAACGAAGAAGCGAAGACTGCGCATTGATCATACGACTTTCTCTTTCGCGTTTGTCTTTCTTTTTCTTACGGGTCACTTGTTTCTTCCTGCATGTGTTCGTTGTGTTCTACGAAATTCTTCTACGAAATTCTTGCTAAGCAAACAAAAACCGCCCTAGGAGACTGGAATGCAATGGCGGGCGTCTGCGCAGTCATCTTGGACAACCTAGTCGCTATGCCCTCGGTTGGCCAGGGTTTGGTGGACAGCTGCCAGATGGAGCGACGGAGGCTTCAGAAAGCACGTCTTCCGGCAGAAGCTCCAGACTACAGAGACTCGAGGCAATCGAGTGGATACGTTCTCCATGGTTCGATCGAACACGCACAGTTGGAGAGTGCATACATAAGGTATTCTGGCAGGTATTAGTTGGCAAATAGGTAAACAAGCGGTCAACGGTCTTTTGGACGAGTGCGAGTGCATAGGCACATTCTAAACAAGATTGGTGGATGGCACTTGCAGTGGTTGCTGAGCGCACTCTAGGCCTGGGAAGCCGGGCGTTTGGCCTCACCCAGCACAGTGATGCCAGGTGTTTCCAAAGTAGCGCAAGGTGCTGTTTCTCGCAATTTTGGTGTCCGATTACTTGGACAGGACCCAAGAACCCTCACTGGCGGGGTAGTGTGGCAGGTAGGGTATCGAAAAGTGCCCCGCCAAAAATTGGGCGATTCACACCAGTGACGGCGCACACAAATTGGATGACCGACTGCTTTTCGCTGCCGCAACCGTGTTTCTCGTCTCCGACACTTCGCAACAACACCAAAAATTCTCTTCTTCCGTCATCTCCAGAAGGCCAGGTCGCGACGCCTCGACAATCCTCGCCGCTTTGCCCGGTCCTGCAAATTTAATCCCGTCTCCTCCCAACTCGACCGACCGAACTTTCCCGCATTGCCTCGCTGCGCTACGCTCCCGACCTCCCCTCCTCTTTTTTTTTATTTTTATTTCCTTCGCGCGCAGAAAAAAGACTGCCCCACCAACCCTCCCATCGTTAACCCCGCCTCGACGAGTCGGGCACCATCATCACCATGTCGGACAAGCTCACCCGTGTCGCTATCGTCAACAGCGATAAGTGCAAGCCCAAGAAGTGTCGCCAGGAGTGCAAAAAGTCTTGTCCTGTCGTTCGCTCCGGCAAGCTCTGCATCGAAGTCAGCCCCGAATCCCGCATCGCCTTCCTGTCCGAGTCGCTATGCATCGGTTGTGGTATTTGCCCCAAGAAGTGCCCCTTCGGCGCCATCACCATCATCAACCTGCCCACGAACCTCGAGACCCAGGTCACCCACCGTTATTCCGCCAACAGCTTCAAGCTCCATCGTCTGCCCATGCCCCGACCAGGAAATGTGTTGGGTCTCGTCGGTACCAACGGTATTGGAAAGAGTACCGCTCTGAAGATTCTCTCCGGCAAACTTAAGCCCAACTTGGGTCGCTACGACAACCCTCCTGACTGGGAAGATGTCATCAAGTACTTCCGTGGTTCTGAGCTCCAGAGTGCGTGAACCGAGCTCCAGAAACTTGGCCTATCACATGCTGACCCCTTTCTACAGACTACTTCACCAAGCTCTTGGAGGATGACCTCAAGGCTGTCGTCAAGCCGCAATACGTCGACCAGATTCCCCGTGCCGTCAAGGGCCCCCAGAAATCCGTCAAGGCTTTGATCGACGCCCAGAGCTCCCTCGACAACAAGAAGGAGGTTTGCGACGTTCTTGAGCTCAACCATATTATGGACCGTGAGATCAACCTCCTGTCTGGTGGAGAACTGCAGCGTTTTGCCATCGGAACCGTCTGTGTTCGCAAGGCCGACGTTTACATGTTCGACGAGCCGTCTTCCTACCTCGATGTCAAGCAGAGATTGGCCGCCGCCCGTATCATCCGCTCTCTCCTCCGTGACGACGACTACGTCATCGTCGTCGAGCACGATTTGTCTGTCCTGGACTACCTCTCCGACTTCATTTGCGTTCTGTACGGTCGTCCTGCTGTTTACGGTGTCGTCACCCTTCCTCAGTCCGTGCGTGAAGGTATCAATATCTTCCTCGACGGCCACATCCCCACCGAGAACCTGCGTTTCCGCGACGAATCCTTGACCTTTAAGCTGGCCGAGGCTGCCGATGAGTTCGCTGCTGAGAAGTCCCGTGCCTTCAAGTATCCCAAGATGGAGAAGACATTGGGCAACTTCAAGCTGAAAATCGACTCTGGCGACTTCACTGACTCTGAGATCATTGTCATGATGGGAGAGAACGGAACCGGAAAGACCACCTTCTGCCGCATGCTTGCGGGCGCACTCAAGCCCGATAACAAGGCCTCAGTCCCTGAGATGAAGATCTCCATGAAGCCCCAGACCATCACTCCCAAATTCGAGGGCACTGTTCGTCAGCTCTTCTTCAAGAAGATCAGGGCCGCTTTCCTGTCCCCTCAATTCCAGACCGATGTCGTCAAGCCCCTGAAGCTGGATGACTTCATTGACCAGGAAGTCAAGAACTTGTCCGGTGGTGAATTGCAGCGTGTCGCCATCGTTCTGTCTCTGGGTATGCCTGCCGACATCTACCTCATCGACGAGCCTTCTGCCTACCTCGATTCCGAGCAGCGTATCATTGCTTCTCGTGTCATCAAGCGTTTCATTATGCACGCCAAGAAGACCGCCTTCATCGTCGAGCACGATTTCATCATGGCCACTTATCTCGCCGACCGAGTCATTGTCTTCGACGGCAAGCCCGGTATCGATGCGCATGCGAACAAGCCCGAGTCTTTGCTGACCGGTTGCAACACTTTCCTCAAGAACCTTGATGTCACCTTCCGTCGCGATCCCACCAACTACCGTCCCCGTATCAACAAGCTGAACTCTCAGCTCGACCAGGAGCAGAAGTTGGGTGGCAACTACGTAAGTTTCATCGTAAAAGAGCGTGGCTCAACCACATTTACTAACTGCGCATGTAGTTCTTCCTGGACGACGGAGACAAGACGAGTTAAAGAGGGCATCCACAAGGATGTTTTTTTCCCTCTGCGTCACAATGCATTCTTTGACACAGGCGTTAAGGGCGTTCAAAAGGGGCATAAGCGGCAGCTGGGGAGGCGCGCTTCCGGCGGTCAGGATCACGGTTTGGGTTTAGAGGAGGCCGGCGCGTCCGAGGACGATGACGCCGAAGGCTAACAACGGCGACGGCAGTCTATCCCCTGTTGTCTGGTCCTACGGAGAATGACGTGAGTTGATCCCGCTGCGTAGGGAAATCCCTCATTCGGGTCCGAGCCACTTCTTCCTCGGCCGGCACATTCATTTGGGACACCCAGACTCTGTAGATTGAGGGACAATGGATCAAGCAGGATGACTGCCGTCAGTCTTGTCATCAGCAATGTGCTGTGGCAAGACTCGTGCATATTTAGAACATGGCAAGATATATATCACGTAGCAAAATAAGAGGGAACAAAAGACCGTTGTTAAAAAAGCTAAGTATGTTTTTTATGCTATCCGAGAAGTGCGCACCTGCAGTTAGGTCAAACAAGAGATATACATACAGACTAAACAAATGCCGGGAATGCCCACTCCTGATGGTGGTAGCGGATGAAACACGCGAAGGGCGCACGGCAGAAGAGAAATGCCCGACGAACAGCGCGC